GGGCTGTGTGTGGAGGGCTGTGTACGTGTCCACACTCACGTGCACTCGGCCGCTGTGGCCACATTTCCAGCATTCCCTGCTGCTGTGGGTGTGCCCAGGGACCCCCTCACCACCCTCTGCTGCTTCTCTTGCAGGCCAACGTGGTCTGTGTGGTGTACGATGTCACCAAGGAGGCCACCATTGACAAGGTAATAGGTGCCACCACAGCCCTGCCTCGGCAGCAGAGCTGGAGGGGAAGGGGCTCCCAGCACTGGGGTTTCCATGCTGCCCTTGCACAGTGTGAGCACATACCAGCCCTGTGGGGGATTTGGGTCTGAGACCCCTGCAGGCAGAGGCTGAGCACAGAACAAGCTTGCTCCCACACTGGTGGTTGTCCTCACAACAGGCTGATTGAATCCTTGCACTGGTATCCAGCATCCCTGGGTCTGCTCTGCCTGCTGGTGCGGGGGAATGCTGGGGAGCAGATGGCTGCAGGGCCCTGCTGTCTGCCTGGGATCTGCCTCTCCCTCCCCAGGCTGTGCTGACACCCTCTGCTCGCCTTCCAGATTCGCACAAAGTGGATCCCCATGGTGAACGGGGGACTTGAAAAGGGATCCAGGTACCGTGTGTGGCATGATCTGTGGGTGCAGATTTGGGGGACTATGGGGGCTGTGGGGAGCCCACCACCTTCCTGAGGGTGCTGAGACCAAACCAGCTTTGTGTTTTGATCCAGATCAGGTTGGACAGGGCTTGGAACAACCTGGGCTAGTGGAAGGTGTCCCTGCCCATGGCAGGGGGTGGAATGAGGAATCTTTGAGGTCCCTTACAACCAAAACTATTCCATGACTGTGGCTTGTGGCTAGACCACTTGTAGCATAAGAACATGTGGGCTTTTCTCCCTCAGAGATCCAGCTGAGGCAGGGGGCCACTGGAGAGGGATCCTTCTTTCCCCTTGATCTCTTCTCAGCCAGACAGAGAAAGGAGGCTGCCAAGGGAATCTCTGAGCTGCAATCTGTGTGTGGATCACTTTGCAGGAGGCTGCTATGCTGGATTAGAGACTGCTATGCTGGATTAAAGACTGCTGAACATATTGTTGCTGGGTGAAAGCCTAAGCAGGATCAGGCAGTTTGTTTCTCCAGATGGATGCTCCTGGCCATGGGAGGCAGGAAAGCTGCTCTGGGCCTTGCAGAAGAGGGGTGGGGGCTCCCCAACCTGCCCCATGGGAGCACCAGTGGCTGGGACAGTGCCAGGACCAAGGGAGGGGTGGCCTTACTTGTGCTCTGTGTCTTTGCCAGGATCCCCATTATTTTAGTGGGAAACAAGTCTGACTTGCAGATAGGCAGCTCCATGGAGGTCATCCTGCCCATCATGAACCAGTTCTCGGAGATTGAGACCTGTGTGGAGGTGAGGGAACTGGAGGGTGTCTGCAGAGCTTCCCTGAGGGGTCAGAGTGCTGCTCTGGTGTGAGTCAGGGAGCCTCTGCTTCTGGAGGGCTGCCCTGCTGACACTGCTCTGCAGAAGTCCCCATCTCTGGGGGTTGAAAGCCTGTGATTTGGGCTTTCTGTGCTTTGTGTGTTGGCTCTGGGGCTGTGGAATGGGCACAACAAAACCAGAGCAAAACCCAGGGGTTTTTCCCTTTTGAGTTTTCCTCATGGTGGACAAATACTGCTCTGTGCTTTGATGCACGACTTGTCCGGCTCAGGGAGCTAGTATCATCCTCCTCCTGCCCCTTTTCATCAGCTCCCAGGGCTGTCTTTTCCTTTGAATCCCCAGTGCTCTGCCAAGAACCTCAAGAACATCTCTGAGCTCTTCTACTACGCCCAGAAAGCTGTGCTGCACCCCACTGCCCCTCTCTACGACCCGGAGGAGAAGCAGGTGGGCTCCTGGAAGAGTCTTCTTCCCGTCACAGTGCTCTGGTGTGCAGCTTTGGGAA